TCATTGTCTGGAAGTGAAATACTGAACAATTGATTACATAATACATTAACAATCTTATGAATAATAGGCGACATACAAATGACTCTTATCAATATAATAGATATAATACTCGATCCCATGTTTTAAACACAAAGTCAAATAAGATATAAATGTCATAAATCGGAAGTTGTTATAAATTAATTATTCAATTGGCATAATGTTTATCATTAATAAAATAAGAGTCAATCAATATTATTGTAAAATTGTTAGCACCGGTAGACTCTGTTATGTTTTATCTATCGGTAAAATTCAGAGAGAATTCACATAAACTTTAATATCTATAAGTGTTTCATGAATTATCCTAATATTAAGCAATGACAACCAATTTTCCTTAAATAAAAAGTGTAATTTATTTTATAAACGGATATTTGAATGATTGTAATTTTAATCTTATAATTTTACTACAGTATAATCATATATAAACAGACTTTATACCCAAACTGCTTGAAGTAAATATTTCAAAATTATAATAATCATTGTGTGGTAGATAAAATATTTTATACAAACAAAAGTTTATAAAAAATATAATAAAAAAGATATTATTATTGTATATAAATAAATATGACTTAAAGCTACAAATGTGTTATAATTTCATTTGTGAAAACTTGTCGATTATGTCAATGGCTTCGGTGTAGTGGTTGTGTTGGGTCTCCAAATCAATCCTCACATCTCTATCGGGATCGTCACCAATGATATCGCCGGTCGAGTCGTATGATTGACGAATACGGACCTTGAAGTCGATGGCAATGAACTTAGAGGTCGAGTCTATTAGCTCCAACTGACACAACTTCGGTAGACTGTCCCTGTTTAGGTCATACACAACATAAAATAATTATTAATTTAATGGTTATATTCATGACTTACTTAAACTTCTTCTTAAGTATAACCACATAAGCGTCGACTAATCTCTTGACTTCTTCCACCTGAACCCCCAAATGGAAAGAATATGAGACGTCTTGTGGTGTTTTGTTAAGTGTTGTGGACGTATAGGAAATGGATGATTGATTGGAGATGGATATGTTATCACTGGAATTGCTAAGACTTTTCACATCCACCTCTTCCAGCCATTCCCTCCACTTATTCATGTCGTGCCTCGAAGTGAATACCAATTCCAATGAACTCCTTCCCAACAATTCGTTTCAATTATAAGTTATTTATTTTAAAATACTGTATTATTATTAACATTAATAATTATATGACCTTTACTAACTTTTGTGTTATATTTATCACTAACATGAGGTCACCATTAGTTGGTCGGACAGTAGCACCCCTTAGATCTACCTGTCCCCTCCTGTCCCTTTGTGTCTCATTCTTATACCACGAAAGGTTTGTATCGTTCAATACAAACCAAAAGTCAGTCTTCTTGTACGCAATCCAATCACTTTTGCTAAGACTTTGTTGCGATGCTTTCAACTCAATGTCGGGTATGGGTTTGCAAATATTATTATCATATCTATATTATAATCAGAAATAATTTAATTTTTATTCAGTTTCAATGTTTAGTGAAAATATCAAATACCCAATCATTTTAATAAAGTCCTCATTAATAGTATTTATATAAGATTTTTCCGATTCGACTAAATGCTCGACAAATGATTTGCATTTCATATTAGACTCGCGTACGAAATCCAATGCAAACTTTGAAAAGATTTTTCTGTTTTAAAAACATTTATATAAAATACAATAAAATACTTCATAAATCTGTACAGTATAACAAATACATTATAAACTACATATTGAATCAAACCTTAATTTAGGGAAGCTTTCAATATTTGCGACACATTCAGTGATTATAATGACGATCTCATCCGTAACCCAATCGACACAATCGAGTGATATCTTACGAAACAGTTCTGTCGATACAATAAAATAATTTAATTAAATAAATAAACTATTTTAATAATCACTAAATCATATAAAATTAATACCGATTTGATTGGCCACGACTGATATGAAAGCGGTGTCGGGTACAAACACCCCAATCCTGGTGCCGAAAGCATTTTTGATGGCCACTCCGATCTCACGTCGGATACGGTTGTCGTCGTAAAACATTTTATTCACTTCTTTGGCATAAGTGTCGTTCATTAAGGAATTGATTTTTGTTCCGCCATTCAGTTTCTCGGTGGACACCAGCCATGCCTTTCCTCCCACTCCGGCATCAAAACTAGATCTCATCTTCTCGTAAGCCTCGGCTAAGATCCTCTCTTTGTCTGAATCTTCTAATGGGAACTCAATTGTCTCTAATTTCTTGTTGAGTTCCTCTAATTTATTCTGTATTTTAGGCTTCAATGGCGGCAATCGTTTGAAGATATGATTTGATAGCTCTGTCTGTAAATACTCCTGAAGATACCTGATTCCCATTTTGTCCGCCATGTCTGGTCCATAAGCCGGGTGCTCCATGAAAAACCTGCGTTCATCTGAAAGGGCTTTTCTGATGTCTTTATTGTCGTCGATGTCCTTTTGAGACCGATTGATAACTCCTATGAAATCTCTTTTTAAATGAATTTCATGCCTCCCATTGAGTATATCTCTGGCGTTAGTCCCGGCGTCCATGAGATCTAATTTGGTTAACACACCGATAGTGCGCTCACCCGATGGATCCACTTCTTTAGCCAATTTGAGTGCATCAGAAGTGGCTAAATCTGATT